GGTCTCCTGCTTCACCGGCTTAGCCTGCCAAGTATGCAATGCAAAGCCCCTCCTCAGTGCTGCGAGCCTTGTCTTACCCTGATCAAAACTGCTGCTGCTACTGCTGCTGCTGCTACTGCTGCTGCTGCTACTGCTGCTACCTTACTACCGGTATCGTTGGCAGCCAGTCGCTGCCGCTTATTACCTCCCCTGCCGACACATGTTGGCAAACACAGTGTATTAAACTCAAAAAGTCGCTCGCGAGGTCCAGACCGGGGCCAAAGCAAAGACTTCCGGCTACAATGTTGCAATTGCACCCGCCTTCGATTTGGCGGCGCTTGGTTGTTTCCTTTTCGACGCCATCGAGAACCTGGAGCTCAACAGTTGTTTCATCAAACGATTCATCACGGCACGGTTGCTAGCTGCTAGGAAGGGAGGCGTTTTCGCATGGTACACACAATGGAAACGCTTCTGAGACCGCATGACAGCATGGTCATGAATCCTGGCAAGCATTGGGGCTGACGTCACTGAAATGTCCTCAACTCTGAAGCCTTTAATCCGGGAATCCGTCGATGCGATCAGGGAACTCCGCACCGCTTTGCGCAAGTCGGCTGCTGCCTAGCTCTCGAGCTAGCTTCTAGATTCTAGCTGCCTAGCTGCTGCAAGCTGTTGGCCCCTGACAAAAGAGGCAATGGCGGTCAATGGCGGCAGCGGCAATGCATTCTGATGTGCTGCCTACTGGATCTCATGGACATGCCGGGCTGGGCTCAATCCGATTCAACGACTGCAGAACACTTGAACTTGGAGAGTCGGCAGACAAGGTAAGTGGACAAAACTAAGTAGCCCCATTATTCCAATCAAGGTTTGCGTAGGGTGCTTATAAATATACTTCCTACTTACCAAGCCCCTCGACTCTCCAAGCAAGACATGGCAACAGCTGTGTGACCGGAAATTGAAACTCTCTTCTCATGCATCAACTTCGGAAGGCTGCACTGTTCTATAAACTCCCTCAGCGCGCAGGCACATTAGCAATGTGATGGGCTGCCAGCTTCTGCAATATGAACCGGACTGCTATGACCGACTAACAAGCTTATGAGCCTAGGCCCAGAGCCTATAGGCCTACAGCTTAGACGTGAAAACCTACAAGGCATAAGGCTGGGCTTTGCGTGTAGCTGCTGGAACAGCACTCGTGCACAGCGTCACTGCTATCGCTGCACCACATTGCCTGGACGCTGTAGAGAACTACTTCCCCAGAGCCTCCAAAACACCTGAAATAAGTAATGTGACTACAGTGACTACAAGAAACCTTAAACTATATTCGATTATTCGGAGTCCTATTCCAAATTAAGGTGCATTCCTTATTCCAGGTATTTTGGAGGCTCTCGGACTTTACCTAGATCCATGTCAGTGGCCAGGCCTGGTGTCGGCGTCGGGTCATGCAAACGCTGCATCACACGATAGTCTGTGTGCGTGCTGAGTTGATCACGATCACATCACTGTTTTGGGCCGTTCCCAAACAATTTTCTGCATAGCATTGACACAGCCTATATAAATTCAATGATTCCAAGAATCCTAATCATAATCTATGCCCTATAGAACCATGGTACCTAGAGTCCTAGAGTGACCTAAAGTCTAGAAATGGGACAGTGCACTGCTACCCGGTACGCGGCTATCTATCCAAACCATGGCCACTGCACCAGCATGCCACTCCACAGAAGGCACCAGAGGGAACACTGTTACGAACAGTGTTCCGGCAGAGAAAAAAACATCCCTTCGACGTCGCTCCACGTCGCTCCTTCGACGTCGCTCCACGTCGTTTACTCTATACTTGGAAAGCAGGGAACTTAATGACTGAGTAAGTAAGTAAGCAAGTAAGTGGTAAGTAGACGAAACAGACTGTGACGAAGCAGACTCATCAGTACCCTGAAAAGGATTGTAATTGGAACTAGCCCATTCAATAAGTCTACTTAATGTACTACCTGCTACTACCTACTTTGTAAAGTCACCCTGACTTTCCAAGTCTACTATATGTCGCACTCTACTTCTTCGCCGAATGCTGCAAGGAAGCCTCTCTCTCAGCAGCTGGACCTAACGATAATTTGCAAGGCTACGGTGCAAGCGCAAGGTTGAAGGTTCGTTTTGGGATTCAGTTTCGGTTTGGGGTTGCATAAGAGATGGACGATTAAAGCAAGTCCCACAAAGGCTGACAGACCCCCCCCCCTCACAAGTAGCTGCATCCTTTATGCCTGCCTGAACCCCAAACCCAAAAGCCTGCACATGCAGCCTGAACACCACACCTAAAACCAAGTATCCCCAAGCAAACCCTTACCATCCCCATCCAGAAACCCTCAACTCTCTCTCCCTGTCATGAAAGCTGTCGTAATGTCCAACCAGATCCGAGCTGTCCCTGAGCAGGGCTTGCAGCTTGCAGCCATCGAATTAAGGCATGGAATCTGCACATCGCTGAAAAGTCCGGATTTACTCAGGAAACTGTTTGCAGAGGTAGAGTGCCCAGATAATCGTGCCTATGCACGGCAGTGCATAGCCCTCTCCCGCCAGGCTCCGCTTCTTGTTGTCTGTCATGTCAGCAGGAAAATGATAGTCATCAGGGTCATGCCCCTGCAGGCGAAAGTGCTCATCTACCGTGAGAACACGATCTCTGGAAAACACATACACCTGGCTTGAGGTTGTCAGCGTCCTGTGGACGCTGGTCTTATTGACAACCTTTCGATTGTGAGATTGCGACACGTCCAACCAAACGCCTTGCATCAAGTCCCGCAGCTGCCGATCAGTCAGCCTCACACCTAGCTTTCTCACAGACATGAGCCGTTCTGCCACGACACAATCCATGAGATCACAGATTCGAGGATTCAAAGTCAGCCCTGAACCACGAAAGTTCGGACGGCTCGTCCAAGGCCGATAATCAGGGAGTACACCAAGCTTGTCGCGCCAGCTGCAGCTCTCAAACCACCACTTCGGCTTCGGCGCCGTCGGGTCATCAGTGTCCAAAACCTGGCAGCAGGGCAGTGCCAGGCCAGGCGGGCAGGACAGCCAGGAGGAAGGGGTCGGGGCATCCGGGGAGCTCGGGACTGGGCTGGCTGGGTCCGGCGGGTTGGGCCTGGAAAGCGGCATTTTCAACCCATTTGGACCTCCATGTTTCCGCCATTCCAGACCCCATTCCAGACCCCATTTTTGGTCCATTCAAATCCCATTTTTTTTGCATTTTGCTAGGCAAAATGCAAAAAAAATGGGATTTGAATGGGAATGAAATGGAAACCAGAGGAGAGTAAGTGGGAATTAAATGCAACAACACATGGACTGGAAAATGCAAGGGAAATGGCTCTCCCAATGTAAGAGAAGAACTAGTCCTGGAAGCCGTTCCGTTGAAATGCGAAAAATGCAAGGCCGGGGTCCGGGTAGTCCCAGGGCCGAGGCTTGGGAGGGGGTCGGGAGATGGGGAGGGCCTGGAAAGGGATCTCTGAAGGGCAGCGGCTTTACTTCATAGGAACAATCGACGAAACAGCAACAAGTTTCCAAGTTGGGTTCAGAAGCCTCGCAACAAGCACAGTAATTACAGCGACAGCCACAGCTAAGCAGCTAAGACAGCTAAGACTCGTAAGACGGCTAAGCATGGTCAAGAGTTCACAGCGACCGACTGCCAAAGGAGTGAAACTACGTCTGCCAGGTTCTGGACACAGCAGTGCTGCAAACGCCTGAAGTTGCCGAGGCTGCCCAACAGCCACGTCCTCCTCACGAAACTTGCCACGAAACATCACTAAACGACCAGCAGACTCACCAGACATGTGTTGCTGCTTGCAGCTTGCAAGATTCTGCAAGATCAAACGCGCTTCACTAAAGAGACTGAGATCTGCTAACTCATGGGATCGGCAAAGCCAGCTACAGCACAAGCTCAGGGATGGACACCGATGGACTCCATTCTCATGGCTCTAAATCAACCCACCCTGAAGCTCCATCGTCACTACCAGTGAATACCACCAACTGTCACTAACTCTGGAACCACCGTCCGTGTCCTCATTCTCTTCTGACAGCAAGGTCTCGCAATCGACTGGGCCGGCAGCTTTCTGCTTCAGCACAATGTCCTGACAGCAACGGTGCAGCACAAGTCAAGACTTTTCAGACAAGGGAAGCTATAGTAATAGAGTATTAGAACATAACAACAATAATAACAAGAACCCGAATCTAGAAACTCTCATCTGCAATCTACAATCTACAAATCTACATTCTACAAGATGGTTGAACGCTGACGGCAGAAACTACAGTAACAGTAACTGTAACTGTAACTGTAATAACACTACAATACTGAAGGCTGAGCTCCTCAACGATTGCTTCGAAGCGGGACACATCCGCCTCCGTGTATTTGTCCTTGCGGAAGAAGACCAGGAAGATCCTGCGGCCACAATTTGCAAACTGTCTCTAGCAGACTCTAGCAGCTCTTGCAGACTCTAGCAGCCACACACTCTAAGTCTCAGTCCAGCGCACAAAAACTTGCAGGAGCAAGACTGCCAGGAGTCCAGGAATACTTTGACAGTTGGTGATTGTAGTATTGTAAATATTGTAGTGCACTGGTCGGAAGTAAGTTTCACAAACATGTGGACCCAGACCTAACCATTTCAAACAAATAATGAAATAATGACGAACCTCCTGGCTACGTCCCCCCGACTGTCCAAATAATTGCAGCTAACAGGCAGCATTACTGCATCTGAGCAAGAGCAAGACATCTTTTTTTCAAAGACCCGGCCAGGTTGACTGAACACTCTGTGCTGAGCTGCAGCTGCAGCTAGGGGTTCCACACAGGTCCGTTCTGCGCTGGGCACTTTTACATTCTTTTAACAAGCCTGAAGGGTCGTTCTAGAGTATATTAGAGTCGCCAAGGATCATTAACATCATTATTAGCGTTGTTAGAGCTGTTAGAGTTAGAGTTAGAGTTAGAGTCTGTTAGAGTACAGCAGTAAAACACTGCAGTGGAAACTTGTGGACCCCTGTGCCAGCAGACGAGCTGATCAAGTGATCCGGCTGGGTTCAGCGTCAGGCTCCCATTCTTCCTGTGGACGTTCGAAGGCAAACAAGCTGTCAGAGTGCGGGAGTGCTGCTAAGCGAGCACGAGCTTCCTGCCGCTCTTGCAGGGGAGGAACTGGAGCATGCACATGGTCTCGCTGGGAGTCGTAGGCAGAGCAAGTTTCGAGCCAGCGCATGAGCATGCCCAATGGCCTGCCCTGCCCGTTTCGCTTCGAATGATCTTTCGGCTGTCGCGATGCACCTGTCGCGATGCGTTTGCGGGTGCATGCCAGGGGCAAGCCCTCCGATGAAGCAGCTGACTGGTGGCTTGCACAGCGGCATGTAGCCACGAAGGTCTTGTTCTTCTTATAGTAACGGATGCTACCAAGTCCTGCAACATCCACAACAAGTTCTGCAGCATGTCTCGGGCCAGGATCCCGCCGAGTCGAAGGTTGCGCATCAGAAGGCTGTTCAGGCCTCGAGCTGCTGCTTGCCGCCCCAGCATCAGCTGCCTCCACGTGAGCAGATGGCTTTGAAGACCCGGCGGAGTTGTTACCTGCAGAGATGGAAAGGCCTTTAAATTCCAGGGTCTGGGGGACTGTAAGGGTTGTCTAGGTGCGTAGGCTCTAGGACTCTAGACTCTAGGGCAGGGCACTAAAGTGCAAACAAAAACGAAAGATTCCAGACTACTAGAGTTTCGAACAAAGCACCCAAGGTGGCTTGAGCCGCATCATCAAAAGGCAATTCTTGGTTGGCGAACTCTGCGTCCATCAGATCAAATGCACGCTGGAGCCAGGCAGGAGTGTTTGCATCCTCATCCTGCTCACCATCTGTGTAGTCATCAACAGAAGCAGCAGGAGGATGGTACTCAACAGGTCCCACACCACCGCCGAAGTCTTCATCAGGATCAGCAGCAGCCATGTCTACATCGGCATCCGGCATGTCTCCCGGGGCAGCTGCAGAGGTCTGCCGACGCCGCAATGCCGGCATGGCTGGACGGATGCTTTGCCTTTGCTGTTGCTCGCCTTCCGGACGATTCCGATGCTTGTGGCGCGACCGGGCTTCCGCAGCCGCCTCAGCCTCAGCAGCGTTAGCAGCCTCCCTGTCCGCACCCTGCCAGACAAGGATTTCATGGCAGTTTTTCAACGCTCTGACGTCAATCTGGTCGGGCACCATGTCCTCCAGTTGCACACTTGTCGGCAAACTCAGAACTTCATACAGCTGCAAGGACCAAGAACAGTTGTAGTCGATGTGCTCGCACATAGCTTCCAAGAGAGTTCGAAAAGTCAGCTCTTGTAAGATGCTCAATGTGAGAATGTCCAAGTCAGCATCTTGTAGATCTAAATCTGCGCGTTCCAAGCAAAGACCGGAGGCTTCATACGTGCGGAAATTCATGTAACCAACATGGAACCAAACCTCATCATCGCAGATGCCACCTGGTGGCAGTGCAATTGGTGCCGAAGCTGCAGTGGCATGGGAGCTGACGTTTGCCGGGTTCTGCAGCAAGGAAGCCACATACTCTTCCCAATCAGGCTCCGGTTCTGCACGCTCAGGCTCGGCTTCCTTCTTTCTGAAGCAGAGGACAAGATGTCCTGACTCCGCCAGAAGCCTGGCCTCTGGTTTCACGGGTTTGGGCTCCAAAAACTGTTTTGTGGTGGCATCACGCTTGCGACTTTTGGCAACCAGCAGAGGCCTGAGCAATTTGATTGTCTTGGTGTGCAGGCGGAAAGCCTGTTGGCCTCGTCCACTGCATACACACATTGCCAAACGATGGCAAATAGACGGTTCAAACAGCTCCCGGAAGTCACTGTCTCTGATGCGAGGCTCTTCTTTCTCGTAGGTCATCTGGTGATGCTGTTCCCATGCCTCGTGGAGGGCTGTTTTCAAGCCAGTTTCCAAGCCTTGCCCACGTCTGCCTTGATCTCGGCATGCAACCTGACAGGGTTTCAAAACGCGGACAAAGCGACTTGTCAGGGGAGATGTTGAAAACCTGAATGTTCAGAATTCAGAAACTCTCGCAGCAGGCCCTGACCTGCTTTGAATCCGTGACGCTCCCTTTCCACACCTTCTGCTGCCAAGTTACCAGCTACTGACAGTTACTGCTTGGAAGAAGCCTAATAAGCCTAATATCAAAGGGCTTAAGGCTTAAGGGCTTAAGACTTGTCGATGCAAGTAAGTAAATAAGTAGACTGTGGGCTATAGACTGTAAACTGTAGACTGTAGACTGTAGGCTTTGTAGTCCTAGTCACTAGTCACTCGTCACTACTGAAGTACTGACGACTCTACTGACCCCTATTGTCGCAGCCCAGTGACACAGGCAAACGGAATCGTAGGCGGCACCCAGTGGACAGAGGGAAGGCTTCCTCCGAACCACTTGAAGTGCTCTTTGTCTGAATCCTGCATTTGGCAACATTCTGTTGCCAAAGCTGACAACTCCTCCGGCTGTGGAGCGAAGTGGGACATCTCGGAAACAGAGTCTTGCAGCTGTGCCAGGGCTTGTGTCCGGTTGGAGCATTCTGCACGAAGCTGCGCATCCAAGGCCAGAAGAGCTTGTTTCACATCGCTTCCTGGTGGCGATGGTGCCAGCTCACCTGGCGGATGTTGCACAGGCTGCAACTGGCCAGCTTGGGCCACGCGGGCAGCTGCAGGGAGCGCCGATGTCTTGGGGAACGGTTTGAATCCCTCTTCACCTGCGATCCGCGCCAGTCGGCCCAACTCGTCGTAGTAAGATCTATCATCGCTGCTGAGCTGCCAGTACTCCGCGGACAGTTGCTTGACATAGTCCCCGGAGAACCTTCGGCGAACGCCCAGCGACTTGATGTGCTGAAAAGCATTCCAGGACCCTCCAGGCTGCTTAGCCCGCTTCTGCTTGGTCGCCTGACCTTCTTTTTTCACAGGGCGACGTGCCATCCCTATCCGACCGGCCCGACTGCTGGTTCGTGCCTTGTGCGTGCTCCAGCGAAGATTCTGCAGGGCCTGCTGCTGGACCACAAACTTGGCACTGACCATCGGCAAGTCGGCTCCGCTGGTCTGGTTTGAGAATAGCTTCACATGTCGTCTGATGCTGGCGTGACGAGCTTCGATGCCGGCGATGTCGAGGTCGTACATCGTAGCCAATGCATGCAGGAACGATTGCGCCTCCGATGATTGGAGTCCTGAGTCCTCGAAGCGGTCGTGGAACTGGGAGGACAATTCATCTAACAAGCATTTCGAAACATTCAAAACAGCATCGTTCCCAAGCAGGGCCCCGAAGAGCTGTGTCGGAAATCCCCGACGAAACCGCTCCAGCAACTGATGGTGACATGCTCCAGCTCGAGCTGCACATCGGAAGAGCAAGGTCCTCAAGCTTTTGGCAAGAGCTCTCGGCGGAAGTGCCGATGGAACTGAAGTGAATATGCTTCTCAAGCTGTCGAAAAAGTCATGGGATGCCTTGCCGCTGTACTCGTCCAAGATTCGGTAGCGTCGGACGTTGCTGCCCTCAAGGCTTTGCTGCATGTCCCACGTGTCACCACTCACCTTGAGGGCATGGTAAAGCAGCTGCAGGTTGCAACTCATGACCGGCCGGCATATAGCCAACGCAGCAGACGGGCATTGCTGTGCAAACACCGCAGCTTTCCTCTTCATTGCCGCATTGAAGTCAGCCCAACTCATCTCAGCTGTTGCCAGCTCAGGCGCATCAGGATCTCCAGCACTGGCATCCTGCTGCGCCGGCGGTGGTACTGCTTGCTCAGACTCAGGCCCTCTCTCTCCAGAATGGACTCCAGAAACCAAATTCAAGCAGAAAGCATCCCAATCATCATCTGTAGCAGTAGCACCCACGCCAGCTTCATGAGGCCTGCCAGGCCTGCCAGCATTCGGCCGGGCAGCAAGACTGCTGTCAAGCCCTGCCCATAATGGCACCAGGTCTGAAAGAAGGTCGAAGCCTGGACTCGGGCTTAACGGGCTGCAATGATACGGTATGTTACATTCCGTGCTTGCTGACTATTTTGGCTTTCTGCGATTCTGAGGTTCACGGCAGTGAGCTTGCACAGCTTCTGATTCGACACTATGGCATTATGTCAGTATGTCTATGCGCCATGACAATACGACTACGACTACGACATCTGTAGACTCTAGTTAGACTCTAGTCTAGCCCTAGGACCCTAGGATCACTATTCAAATTCACTATCCGGTTATTACAAATAGGTACTCCAAGAAGCATAGGCCCAACAGCAACACCCAATCCAATGCCAAGTCCCCGCCGGTCCACCGGGAACGGGGAAACACCGGACAGCGGTGAGGGATGAGGGCCGGGACGAGGTGCTCGTCGAGCTCAGCGAAGATTTGATTTTCATCTGGGACCGGGCCAGAAGGCCAAAAGAACAAGATCCTCGTACCACGCAAGTTGCTGCCTCGGAAGTAGTGTTCAAGGACAAGGCGTTGTCGCCGCCTCACACGGTTAACTTTCGCTCCCTCGTCCCCACTGCCACTGCAATCAGACAGGCACATGTCGAAGACTTGTTCCCTGTATGCATCGTTGTCCGCATTGTCAGGTGGATCTCCGATGCAAATGTCAACTCTTTTCCGGAGAACAGACGATAGTGCATCCCTCATCTTCGATGTCGCACCCGCCATTTGCATGGCCACCGCAAGAGCAATGATGCCAGATATGTGGCCGTCCACAAGGTTGCAGCACTGAGTTTGCTGTTGGGCGAGCTTGTGAATCTTACAGAAGCCATGAGCCTTTACAAAGGATGCATCCTCCAGCTGCATTGACTTCTCACATTTGATGTTCGGACCCGCTCTGTCCGTCATGACCAACTGAACCTTGAAGGCTGCTTCCCTCGCCAACCGGCGCAATTACGGAACGGAGCTTTCTAGGTTCAGCTGACATGCTTTCAACGTTTCACCAGTGCAAGCATCAAACGATGAAAGAGTCGTGGGTAGTGTCGTTCGTACAAACATGTATTGCTCATTCTTCTGCAAAAGGACCCCGAAAGAGAGCTCCGTCTGCAGAAGCTTTGTCGGCACAGCGGTACCCTCCTCTGAAGACTTCTGCCGAACCCGCAACGGCGCCTCATCATATCTGCGCTTTTTCACTAGCATAACCACTTTGGCACCAGAAGCGAGGATGCTAGAGGCAAGGTTGCCAAACATCATTGAGGCACCCCAGTAGACCGCTGCACCTGTGCGAAGCAGCATGCTCTTCAGATTGCGACGTTCATTGTCCACGGCTGAAGCTTCAGCTGTAAACGACAAGCCGGGCTGCAACTGCATCAAGTGTCGCTTCACAAAGCTTGCGGCATCAGGATCTACTTCGGGAGCCGTTGGCTTGCGTGATGCCATCACACACAACATCAATCTCTTCTGCAACTCGGAACCCAAACTTCGGTAACGCCAGAGCTCACTGACCGAGCCTTCTGGTTGCCCATCTTGAGCAACCTGAGCCGCTTCCCGAGCTCGAGCCCGACACAGTCTCGCTTTTGCAGCTCTCGCGCATCCGCTATCCTGCTCCTCACCCTCGGGATGAGCTGCATCCCTGAGGGCCTTCAAGTCACGCTTGTAGGCAGCACTACCACCGGAGCCAATTGGCCGTGTTCTTTTCTTCTCCTTTGCAGCCCCAGCTGGAGCGGGCACTGAGGCATCCATGACATCATGAAACGATAAATATGTTTGACATGTTTCCAACAACTTGTCTCTGTCGTCGACCGAACACTTCGAAATTCGAAACACCTGTCAGCTAGTCCCCTTCTCAGGCCCTTCTGCTTGCCACCGTGACAGTTACAGAAGTAAACAAGCACCGGAACACCAATAACCTGACATGCCCCTGCGGCCTGCGGCCCCTGCATGATCGACGCGAGCGGATAGATTTAAGGCTTTCCAGGAAAGCCATGTTCTTGGGGTTTGTTGCTGGGAGCTTGATGTTCGTTAAAGGATTTGACCTAACATCAACCAAACTGCTCAAACCGAGCGCATAACACATCAACGCGAACACACACACACACACACACACACACACACACACACACACACACACACACACACACACATAGCCCTGCGAAAACACGACCGCTGCTTTCAGGTTTTGGGGTCTGGTTAACAACTCCCCATGCACACACGCAGGCAGGATCCCTATACCAAGGATGGGTTGAGGCTTTGGGGATGTTTGGGGTAGAGGATATTACAGGGTTTGGAGTTCCCCTACGCAAACACACGGACACAGCCACGATCCTTGTGGCAAGGATGGGATGCGGGTTTGCAGATGTTTGGGGATTACGGTTTGGGGTTCCTTCGACCACGGAGGCACGACCCCTACCCTACAGCAAGGATGTGTTGAGGGTTACGGGATGTTTGGGGGATAAGGTTTGTGGGTTCTCCCTTGCACACATGCAAGCATGGGTTTAGAAGTTTAGGGTTTGGGGTTGTTTGTGGATGTTTAGGGATTAGGGCTTCAGGTTGTCCCATGCACACACGCAGGCACGAGCCCCGGTAGCAAGGATGGGTTTAAACGTTCAAGTTTTAGGTGTGTTTGGGAATGAGTGTTTCGGGTGCTCCCATGCACATGTACCCACAGGCACGATCCCTGTAGGTAGTAAGGATGATGTTTGGTGGGTTTGGTTTCAAATTCTCCCATGCACACACGCAGTCACCATCTTTGCAGCTGTAGCTAATGGGTTTACACAAACTTAGACTTTAGACTTTAGCCATTAATCATTAATCACTTTAATTAGGGTGGGTCCATCTGGGGATTGGGATTCGGACTTGTCTCGGCTGTGGGTTGCCAACGCCCTCGAAAACACATTCACAACTGACGCGATCGCACAGACACACAGCCGGACCGACACACACACACACACACAATCTCCAAACCCGAAGCCCTAAACTGGCCCTAAAGTGCAAGACTGAAGCTGTTGATTTCTTTGCTCGAACAGAGCCTCAAGTTTGAACGGATGAAGGTTCAAGGCCTGATTGCATTTTTTTGTGCTTCCGTACATGCTTCACCTGGCTGCCAACTTCGGCTGATCCAGAGCCACGGTATCCTGACCGGTGCAAGCATGACTTCAAGACGGCAGGACATGTGTGAGCAGAAACCATGACAGTGCCAGTTGAGGAACAGCCCAAAGATCAGACCTCGTCGTACGTTGGAGAGCTGTACCGCAGACAGGTCGCAGCCTAGCCGCAGCCGCAGCAAGCGATGCTTATTTCGTGTTGTAAAGCAGTCGGTCCTGCCTCAACCAGTATGGCCTTGGACTCCCGGAATGTGGACCTTCAAGGCCCAAGGTTCGGGTGTGACCCAATGAGAATCCGCTGACTGTTCCTCGACGGTTGCGCATGGGTTCATGTCCCGAGGACCCTGCCCCGGCTTTGATGCACAAGTCACCAGTCCATGTCGAAGAACCTCCGATGACAGCCATAACATGATTTCACTGGCACGTTGGCTCCCTCGGCCTTGTCCATGCACTTCTTGACCACCACACCCACGCCTGCCAAAACAATGAAGACAGAGTAGACTCATTATGTCAACGGTTCAGCTTCACTCGGACTTGGCAAATATTCAACGACATGCAAGCAACTCATGCCCATATGTCCGCCCACCCAGTATATACAGGAGCCATGTTGGCAGATCGCAGCGAAAGAATCTTTGGCCGCCTGTACAAAAATCAAAACCTGTGCTGCGCATGACATAACTACTGTGGCCACAACTGCGGCGGGGCTCCCCAGGTCACAATCCAGCTGTCATCAAGGATGGGAATCCCTCAGGGTCTCCGTTTCAGCCCGCTGGTACAGGTTGGATACAGGCCGCCGAGCTTGCAGAATCAATGGCTGGTGCAGAGCTGTCACTGTCGCAGTCACCCTGGCCCAACACATACCACGGCAGGTCAGAAGATATCCACCAATGCACTGCCTCCAGAGCTTGCAGTTCAGGCGGCTCAAGACAAGCAGCCAAGGAAAGGCACACCTGAGGGATGCCAATAACGTAAACCAGAGGAGCCTCACCCTCGAAGGTATGCTCGGGCGACTCTGGGAACTGCAACGTCATGATAACTGTTCCGTGCTGCACAGAACCCGGCTTGAAACAGGGACAGCGGCAGCACGCACAGATCTGCAGAGTGACAGCTCCACTCCCTATATATTATATACACAATGGCAAGCAGACCTGAGAAATGCAGCTTATGGCCAGGCACACCTGTTTCTAGGGATTCTAGGGCAGATTCTAGGGGCGGAGGTTTCACGATATCTCAAATGACGTGAAGGGTGCAGAGCAACTAACTATCATTACTTTTTATTAAACATCAGCTGAGCTCGCCCACCTGGAAGCCAATGTGCAAAGACGATGCCGAACATGAAGCAAAGGTCCTACGCAAAGCAATCAAGAAAAACAGTCGTCAAGCACGGCCGAGCTCACCAACCTCGAAACCAAAGTGCACCCAAGTCGTCGAAGAGAATGTCGGAGCCGAACCGAGGACGCCCTGTACCGAGCAATGCAAAGACAAGATTAGCCAACAACGGTCTCGAGCTCGCCAACCTCGAAACTAAAGTGCACCCAAGTCGTGGAAGAGAATGTCGGAGCCGAATCGAAGAGATCCTGTACAGAGTAGTGCAAAACAATAAGAAACGATGGCCCAGCTCACCAACCTGTAAACCAGAAGCCGTCAAAGAGCACAAGGACCCTGACCAGAGCAGGTGATATATGTATGCAGCCTCCAGGCAGACACTAAGCCACTAAGCTCCGGACGAAGCCGCGAAGTCATTCAACCACGGCCATCCGGACCTGACGACAGGAATCCCTGCATCACTTTATTCACACGGAAGTGAACCTGTTGCGATTGCATCAAAGGGCTGAGGGCTGGACACAGAACATGTCTTGCCCGCGCCGACCGAAAGCAAGCTAAACGGTGCAGCGCATGACCAATGGAACAAACAAACGATTTGGTAGCAGCAGCCTACATTCCTAGATTCTAGATTCTAGATGAGATGGCATAGTGACCCAGTTGGCCTAGAATGGAGCTAGGACCGCTAGGAGCAATAAGTTTGGGCTTCAACTTTAAAGGACCTCGGCGAACATCCTCAAACTCAGCTCGAGCCATCTCGAGCCCCTTCCGGCCCGTCCAATGCAGTAGGTCAGCAACATGCGCGCAAAGCAAAATGACAATCACCAGTGACCCGCCCCCTGCCAATGTCCTCTTCCTAGCGATGGTCAACCAGTCAGCCATGTCCAAGTGCACAACCGCATGGAAGTAGCCCACCGGCACGCTTGCCGTTTTCAATTCTGCCAGGAACCTGGCCCGAGAGCATTGAAGGCACCACTAGCCGATCAATGACAGGAAGTCCCTGACAGCACTGGCATCACTATCACTAGTCACTAGCCACTAGCCGTTATCATTAACAGTCATTGATTAACAGCGCTCGATGATGACAGCGACGGCATTCGGCAAATGGCTGAGTTCACACTTCAACTGCTGGATTCCTAAATCGGACAGATGACTGATTAGGTAGGTGCAGCACCGCAGGCCTCTCCATCGGAGTGTCGTCACAACCATCCTTCTGTGAACGATCCGGCATGTCGAAGCCTTCGACGTTCTCGAAGCATGCTGTAACTGGCGTGAAGGTTTCAAAAAAATCGACTGCATCTGTAAATGTGATGGCATATGCACTGTGGTCCTGCGGCGAAGTCTTGAAACGTTTTGCCCTCTGGACACTGAAGGGCTTGCACGGTGTGCCAAGGCACGCGAATGCCGGGCTGGAATCAACAACGCACGCCTCCGAGTGAGGATGACGAGTGCACGCACACCCCTGAATCTGCTTCCGAATAGTTTCGTGGGCATGGAAGATTCCAGAGTGGTTGTGCAGAGTGAAGGACCGATACTCTGCACACGGCTCGGAGATGGATGTCGTCTGGAAAGGGATGCCAAGCTCCTTCCGCACCGAACTATCACTAAGAATCTGCTAGACTCGAGTCGCATCCCACTTGGTCCGACCCTACCTGCCTACCGAACCTACGTGTACCGAAGGTTCAGCAACCGCCTCTTACACTGCTAACTGCTTATCGGCAATCAAACCACAGCTCTTTCTCGTCATTTTGATAACCGATAACCCGCCCTCACTGTCCTTGAAAGCGACGCCCTCCACAAAGGCTCCAGTGCACGCACTCAGCACAGAGACGTGAGACTTCGAGCTACCGCCACGGGGATCCCAATCCCGGGTGTGATCCTTGAGCTTCTGCACCCACCAGGAGTCGTCATCTGAAGGCAGCAGCGGCACTCCAGGATCAACATCTTCATCTTCAAAAGGCATGATGAAAGATTGCCCTTCATCGCCTTGACTGGAGGCTGAAGACCTGCATGCATCTGCTTCACTTGTATCCTGGGACAACACCTGCAGCTCTTCTTCTGCTGCAGACTTCTCACGCATCTCACGTAAAAAAGCCGTCGCAAAATCAACCCATTCCTCCTCCACAGGACCGTCCATGGCAACCGCTGCCATTCGACTGATCTGAAACCTAAGCCTAGGGCCTAGGACCTAGGGACCTAGGATGGGCCTAGGTAGGGCCTGGGCCTAGGACCTAGGACCTAGGTAACATGCCCTGTGTCCTGTTGTGACCATGTGCCCTCGAAGAGGCTGCCTTGCGGCGCTGTGTCAAAAAACAA